CGTCAGTGAGTCTTGTCAATTTAAGTGCGAAGTCGATGCATGGAATTATGGTAACTACTATGACAGATAATTACGTATACTTGCGTTCTACTAAGTCGTACAGCAAGACCAAGTTGCGAAAACGAGTTCAGCCCACTTCTATAAATCAAAACGAGACTGTGACCATACCCGGGGTCACACCATGTTGGTCTTCATATCTTCGTATTATTACCTTTGTTGGTGGAAGGAATCAACTTGGCATAAGAGTACAATGAGTGCCAAAGACCCCGTTTGTAATGACCTAAAGCCTCCGAGAACACTTAGACGCCGGTATTGAGGCTCCTCCCTAATAATTAACCTGTCCAAAAGGGGCTTTTATGTGACGGACTCAGAAGTAGGAGTAAATATCTAAAGGAGCATTGTCCAAGACAGCGATAGGGTTAGTGTGAATAAGAAAATTTCAAATTCATCGGCTCCCTCGTTAAGGTAATCTCAACTGGCACGCCATGGAAAAGAGGGTCTGATGCAATTCCCCATATGATTGCTATCTTATTTTCGCTCTCCCCTAGACATGGGATCGTCTTTAGATTGATTGTATCTCATCTGTTTTGCTCAGTCTCCATTGAACCATTAACATCAAACTTTTTATGTAATCCACATTGTCTGAACTCGAAAACTCGTCTAGCAAACCTGAACCTATATGACGATTAACAACCACATCCTCAATCTCCGCATCCACGTTCAACACCATGTGAAGTACTGCATGAAGCTGAGCAAACACTTACTCGGTCCCTTCTTAAATTCCAATTAGCAACTAGAAAGTACAGTGGCAATTACAATTAGCAATCATGGCCTTTACGTTAGTCAATTATTTTGCCAAATTAAGCTAATTTTTTAATTACTACTTCATTTTGCCTAAAAACAATTATGTCCCTTCGCAGGAAGTTCTTTAGGTCAAATCGAGTTGTGCAGCGCCTCTCTGGAGCCAGCTAAGAGTGGACAATGTGCTTAACTTCCAAATGGACTGTACTTCAATTTGGCTTTTGTCTTTGACTCCATCCAGCGAGCAACAGCTAACTTTTATGATTCGTCAAACACCCGTCTTAAGGTCGAAAAGTTGAGGTAAGCTCAGCGTGCACTTTGGCCTCGGAGTACACGGCCCTTGCTGCCACATTTACCAGGCTCGACATACCAATTGTTGAGCTGAGAAACAGCCTGACAAGTGGCATCTTCTCTTTTTCGGGAGCTAGCCCGAGGTAAGGCAGCGCAAGGCACGTTTCTCGTGCTCAGGGCAACGGGCGTTGAGGTAAGTTGACCAGAATTGGCTTTTGAAGATGTCAACGTGCCAACTAGTTTCGGTCTCCGCAAACACTTCCTCTCCGGCGCCATCCTCCCGGGAAAATGTGCCCTCCAAGACTGAGACGTCTGAGACGGACAACGACTTGTTCGCCGGGCCTATTCGGTTTCCCTTCGTAAGCCGGCACCAGCCGCATCCGAGGCGAGTGGCCCACATGCGCGGCCTTCTTGACGCGCCCATTTGTCATGTCAACGATGACTACGCGGCCCAAACTGCCGCCAGACAGGCCCTATTGCGAGGGCATCGTGCAAGTCAGCCTATCGACAGCATGGCAACGGCCCATTTGACCGGCTTGTCACCGCAGTACCACACGGACTTTCGGCTTCGTCAGGCCCCAGTCCACCTCGTTACCGAGGCCACAATACAAGCCCCCAGCTTTGCTCGTATTCCCGTCGCCCTTGCAATGCTGGCCCAACCTCGCCTCCGACGGCCGAACATCGACACCATCAACAGTCTACAGTATTTCACAGGCCTGCGCAACTTCTCCGTCCGCGAAAGGCCTCGGATAGGCTTGCTTGCCGCTCTGACAACAGGCTCGCAGACGAGACTGCCAGCCTGGGCAGAGGATCCACTGATAGCATGGCAACCGCAAAAGTATAAAAATTACAGGTCAAACCCAGAACACCAGGACGACCAGGGGGCCTGGCGACAGTCTCTCAAATGGTTTACCAACATAATACTTGGTGAGTCAAACTTAGCTTCCGGTGTGGCTACGGTGTTTATTTTCCTTTCCAAGCCAAAACAGCATCTACCCTCCGGCCTGGCTGTCGATTTATGTTCGCATGGTCTGTGATTGATGGAGGTGAAGATGTGTCTGAAATCACGACCTAAACGCATCAAGACAAGCCAAATGCGAATGAGTTGCCTGGAGTCGAGCAAGGATTGTCTGCACACTCAGCACATATCCGAACTGGCATGTGTATGAACTAATTCAGGATGCCTGATCAGACCGTCCAGGCAGGCAATCAACCACCCGTGAGTGTCAGCTGTCAGGCTACGAAACTTGAGATCTTAATTAGTAATTCAATAATTTAAAATTTCCCTCTGAATGTTTCTTGGGTTAAGGAAAAATGTGATAATATTATGTATAAGTACACTATTTAGTTCAAGGTGATAACGGGACTGGTAGTTGAAATTGACCACAAGGATGTGAGTCGACCTGAAGTTTCCATTGCATTTCAGATAGACTTGCTTTCCCAAAAACGATTGTCTTCCAGGCTATATTGCAGTTTTAATCTCGCCTAGGACTCATCAGCACCCCCAGCAAGACTCGAATCATAACACTGAAGCGTACAATCTCGACACGTTAACCACTAGGGCACATTGCCATGTGTCAATTGCCATAGGAAATACAACTTTGCTTCATCGAAATTCCCACCACGCAATGTGATATGAGAAAATACCTAGCCTTCCTTGAAATTCACATCTGCTCTGTGGCGCAAGGGCACTCGTGGCAACGTGGTATAGTGGTTAATTTGACGAGATTATACCCTGTACTGTCATGGTTTGGGTCCTGCTGGGGTTCGGATGAGACATAGACGAGGTGGGAACTGCGGTCCAGCCAGAAAGAGAGCATTTTTTCGGAAAACAAGGTTATACGAAATTCAATTGAAACGTCAGGTTCAACCATAGCAATGTCATAAAATTAAACTGCCAATCCCTTTATCTCTTTAAAAAAAAGTAGTGTACATATACATCATATTAGTACATTTTTCCTTAGATCAAAAAATATTGACAGGGAAATTTTAATGCCCTATTTGATTCATTTGCAGCAGCTTAAAGTAAATAGTGGTCATATGAATGTGTATATTTTTTAAGAAGATATGCGCTAGAATAAAGTTGCGAGGTGTAGCCTGGTGCTAAGAATGGCAAGGCTCGCTGACGGTGCAGGCGAAATGTCTAGGTAGGGACCAAGTCTTATGACAACTAGCAGAGGACTCCTAACGAGGTTCCTTCACCTACGAGCCCCTGACAACACAAACAAGTTGCGATAAAAAGTTCAAAGCCCTTTAATAAAATACTGGTTTTGAACAAGTCATAGGAAACTAGCCTGAACCGAATGAATATAGATCTATACTCGCGTAAATACAATTAGCCTAGTTCTCTTTTCCATTACCTTTAGTCTCTTTACAAGATACAGCAAATGTCGTCCATCACTCATTTCGCACAGACGCTACTTACAAGCACCACTACAATGGTCAAACATTTACATTATTGCACACATGCCTACAATTGAACTAAAATGAACTACAGGTTGTTTGCGACTGTGATAATACCTAGGGAAGAGGAATGCATAACAATATGGCAGACTCTGATCAACATTTCCAATAAAATGGTGAAGGGGGTGAGAAAAACAGTGTGAAGTGTCAAGGTTTCTCATGAATGCCGCTCAAAGGAGCACACCACAGTACATCGAAATAAGTACGGTAATAATTGTAACAGTAAAGGCGTGACAGGAGGATATAGGAAATGCGACTAGCACAGGGCAGAAAGGGAGATTCCACAACAGTTTAGCACACGTTTGGTCAAAGCATCCTCTTCACTTGTCTATTTGACGAGTTGTTATGTGGTGCTAAGAATGGCGAGACTAACGCCGACTACGATGCCGGAGAAACGTCTGGGAATGTGCCACGTCCACGGTCAGACTTTGGAAATGATCATGCATACAATGGACTCCGGACTAGATGTGTTCCTCTAAGTCTTCCTATCAATATGACCAAGTTGCGAACACAAGGTCAAACAACCTCTATACAACGAATGGAGACTGTAACCTCACAAAAGACTGCACCATACCTTCGATTAAATGAACTATCCCATTTAGCCAGGCTGTAAGCAAGGCACAAATCAGAAGCTGAGGCTCACATTTCGCCATTATTAAAGCATAGCGAAATTCTAATTTAACCTACTCTCTTGTATGGTGAAGTCTGCCCCAGCGTGCCGCTCTCAATAATCTCTTTTATTTGTACATCACTTTGCTTTATAAAAGCTATTTGTAATGCGACCCCTTTCTACAATTATGTCGTGTACTAGTATATCGTATCACATATTAGAATTTTACAGTTTCCATGTTACTTTGACCTCGTTTTCGCAATTTGGGACATCGTAAAACTTACACAGTCATTCAGCATCAACCATAGTAGTCAATAATTTCCAGCATCGGACAGTTGACATATTCCGATATCAAGTTTTGGGAGATAGATGCGATGTCGTATAATGGACCAGCCGATATCGCGTGGAAGTGTATGGATGGAGCTCTAGAGATTTGTACTACTTTTTTGCTTTATATTTTACTGTTTGAGTGAAATAAAACTTTTTCTTTTTACTTTTGACCTCTCATATGAAAGTGTTCTTTACAATTACCAGTAGATCGTGATTGGAAACCTGCGTCAACCTAGGCCACTTAAGGTTAATGAAGATTGAGATGGTTTTGTAGCTTCACTATTGCATTCAAGATCACTCCACTTTGTCTCGCCTAGTGCTTTCTCATTCGGGCTAAATTGGTGTCCTTGAGCTTTCCAGGGTCTCTACGGCATCCTACTGGACAATAACTTCGCGATCAGGCAGTTGGAAGTAGGCCATTATCCGAATAGTACTGTACCCAATTCGAAGTATTAATTCAAACAGCAAAAAACATTTAAGATAAATAAATGCAGCTCTAAAGACCTTTTTGCGTTGGCATATTAAGAGCCTGCGTCAGTGAAGTAATGTCTTTGTTATTTTAACCACTATAAATGTTTTTATTCTCTCGATAATCTATGGACTCTAAATGGTTAGTAGAGAATAAGTTTTACATGACTGCAATAGGCAAACACAGTCAATGAGTTTTGTTACTGGAAGATGGAAGATATCCAGACTACGACATTTGGAGTGGAGGCATGATTTTGCGGTCACTTTAGCTACGCAATTACATTTAGTTTGCCATCATGAAGGAATATCACGATGAGGGCTAAAGTTTAGCAAATATTCAACGAAATCGCATGACTGTGCGCAAATGCTCTCAACGCGCAATTCAATGCTAGCAACTCCGAAACAATCCTTTTGCATTTAACTATGAGGAAAAGTAAAAAAGCTCTTTACTAAAATTTTCAAATTAAATAAATTTTCCACCGGAACTATCAGGATTATTGTATCGGAGGGATGCACTGTTACTTGCCTCATCTACATTCTTACTATGATTGTGATGCTTGACTAATCACGAAATTCGTATCTGCCCTGTGACTAACTCGCTGTTTCGCGATGTTATGACGTGTCACAACGATGTACATGATCCGGTTTCGAATTAATTTGGTGGCGTCGAATTACT